TCACAAGTATTTATAATAGCAAATAATATACAATACATTAATAATTGACTTTAAACAGGGTGTAAAATTTCAGTCAAGGTATATTGAAAACAGAAGCGGCCCTCAACTGGTATCCTTCGGGACGCCACTGATTAAAATTAATATGACGCTTTATATTCTCAACCAGAAAGATACATCACTCTTGATTTTTTTTAATGATTGTTGATTAGCGTATTTACTAACCTAGAATACGAACCTAAACGCCTTAGTATTTGAAGTGCATTAATACATAACAGCAACAACATTCATAACATTGTATATATTGACGTAGATTCATTCCTTTCGTAAGTCATGTCAGGTCATCAGAGTAGTGATTTGTTGTGACTTGTACTGAGGTGAGGTGACACTTCATCTCATAGGCTCTCTCTCTCTCTCTCTCTCTCTCTCTCTCTCTCTCTCTCTCTCTCTCTTCTCTCTCACTCACACACACGAGGAGGCTATGTCACCGAGCCGTAATAATAAGGGGGTAGCCAATGATGCGTGTGAGGGAGGGGGAGGGTGAGGTGTCACGCTCTCACTAATTGAAGAGAAGACCTGTACCCTTGGGACATCTCTACTCACACACCTGGTGAGGGTATCACTAAGGTTGCTACCAGGTGAAAGGAGATAGAGAGATAGAGATAGAAGTGAGAGACAGAGACAGACATAGTGGTGAGAGACAACGAGATATATATATAGTGGTAAGAGGTGAGACAGAGTAAAAGAGTAAGAACAAAAGAGAGGGAAAAAGAGAGAGGGATGAGAAAAAATGAGAGGGGGAGAAAAGGAGTGAAAGAGGGAGAAAGGGGAAGAGAGGGAGAAAAAGGGAGAAAGAGGGAGAGAAAAAGACATACATAGAGAATAAATGAGAAAGAAAAAGAGAAGGAAAGACAATTACATAGACTAGAAATTAAACCGAGTGAAAGAAGAGAAAAACGAAGATAGATACGAACAGAAAAACAATACAAATTAAACAAAGACAAGAAATGGACAAATAAATAAATGAAAGTAAAATGAAGACACCGGGTAATAAAAGTGAGAGTAGGAAGGTATTCTAGAAAGTACAAGTGAGTTAATTACTTCAGGTGTTTCAGGTGAGGTACATAGGTGATAGAGACTAATGAGTTATTGCCTACCTGAGGGAAAAGTTTTATAGTGCTACCTGTATCACCACACGCCCACAGTTGGTACACTAGTGGCGCTCCTTGTGAACACTTGGTACTACTCATGAACACTTGGCACTGTTCATGAACACTTGGCACTGCTCATGAACACTTGGCACTGTTCATGAACACTTGGCACTGCTCATGAACACTTGGCACTGCTCATGAACACTTGGCACTGCTCATGAACACTTGGCACTGCTCATGAACACTTGGCACTGCTCATGAACACTTGGCACTGTTCATGAACACTTGGCACTGCTCATGAACACTTGGCACTGTTCATGAACACTTGGCACTGCTCATGAACACTTGGCACTGCTCATGAACACTTGGTACTGTTCATGAACACTTGGCACTGCTCATGAACACTTGGCACTGCTCATGAACACTTGGCACTCCTCTTGAACACTTGGCCCTGTTCATGAACACTTGGCTCTTGTGAACGTTCCAGTGACTCAGTGAACGAAGACCGCTATTGCCCGTGAACGTTCCAGTGACTCAGTGAACGTTAAACCACAAAACAATCCACTGAACGAGTTCACCTTCATGAACGTTAGGGGTGATGCGCCTAATTGATTCTCTTCCAGTAGTTTCCAGTTACATAATAGCACTTAATAGCGTTAAAGAACGTCCCCGTAACACCATTCTTGCTTCCCCTTAACAGCATTCTTACGTCACCTTAACACCATTCTTACGTCACCTAACACCATTCTTGCGTCCCCTTAACACCATTCTTGCGTCCCCTTAACACCATTATTACGTCACCTTAACACCATTCTTGCGTCTCCTTAACACCATTCTTGCGTCACCTTAACACCATTCTTGCGTTTCCTTAACACCATTCTTGCGTCCCCTTAACACCATTCTTGCGTCACCTTAACAGCATTCTTGCGTCCCCTTAACACCATTCTTGCGTCCCCTTTTAAGGAATTAGATTATCAATGTTACTTACGATGATTTTAAGTTAAGGTAATGTTGTTTCTAGGTTAGACAATTAGTTTAGTTAACATATTCAAAGTAAATTAGGGAACATTATATATATATATAGTCACTTTCCGAAGATATGTAAATAATAAACAAAAGAAAACAACTAAAGAAAAAATCAAACCAAATCTTAAAACCAACACGAAAATATCCTTAAACCAAAAACAAAAACCCACAAATATAGATAAAAAAAACCATAATAAAACCTCTTTTTGGGAGGAGGAGGGACACATTCGAACATCTTGTGAGGAAAGTATCCCCGTAAAAAAGGGGTTAAAGACCATTTAAAAGTCCTAATGACCCCCTTTCAACGCAACCTTACAATGTGTTTATTAAGTGGTGGAGAAAAACCATTTTGGGGGATATCTTCAACACCTGGAGGCCTCTTGGTGGGGGTAAGGAGGTAAAGAGGGGTGAGAAGAGGGGGGGGTGAAGGGATGTATTTGACGTCACGAGGAGAGTTAATCACCTGGAGACAATAACCTTGGAAGTAATAAGAGTCATTTTACCTGTTAAGTGTATTTCTTAAGACACTTATTTCACCTTTAATGGCGGTTCCTTCTTAATATAATAAATTACCTTATATGGGAGTTCTTATTATTTAATGTTATTCTCGTTTTACTTCATATTACAATAATTCCTTTAGTATTTACCATTCGTGGTTTAAGTTACATTTATCTCTTATTTATAAACTCAAAATTACCTTAAGATCTTCAGGTAAAGTCTAAAATGAAATTAATGTAATTCTCAGGTGTGAATCGAAAACTGGGGGTAATTTTCTTCAGTAGTTCCTCTTAAAACTCTAAATTACACCCAGCGGTAAACTTTGAAGGTCCAATCATCTCCCGGCCAGAGAGTAAAGCCATATAATGATTGGCTCACTTTAGAGGGAGAGGAGTTCAGTGTTGCCAAACCGATCATTAGGTTCGACTTTCTCTTCCTCCTGTAACCTAATTGTATTTTCGTTGCCTCTGACGTGTTATGTGGTCCTGTTTGTTGATGTTTTTGGTGTTTGTTGATGTTGTTTAGTGTTTGTTGATGTTGTTTGGTGTTTGTTGATGTTGTTTGGTGTTTGTTGATGTTGTTTGGTGTTTGTTGATGTTGTTTGGTGTTTGTTGATGTTGTTTGGTGTTTGTTGATGTTGTTTGGTGTTTGTTGATGTTTTTGGTGTTTGTTGGTTGTTTGGTGTTTGTTGATGTTTTTGGTGTTTGTTGATGTTGTTTGGTGTTTGTTGATGTTGTTTGGTGTTTGTTGATGCTGTTTAGTGTTTGTTGATGTTGTTTGGTGTTTGTTGATGTTTTTGGTGTTTGTTGATGTTGTTTGGTGTTTGTTGATGTTGTTTGGTGTTTGTTGAGATGTTGTTTGGTGTTTGTTGATGTGTTTGTTGATGTTGTTTGGTGTTTGTTGGTTTGTTTGGTGTTTGTTGATGTTGTTGGTGTTTGTTGATGTTGTTTGGTGTTTGTTGATGTTTTTGGTGTTTGTTGATGTTGTTTGGTGTTGCTGATGTTGTTTGGTGTTTGTTGATGCTGTTTAGTGTTTGTTGATGTTGTTTGGTGTTTTGTTGATGTTTTGGTGTTTTGTTGATGTTGTTTGGTGTTTGTTGATGTTGTTTGGTGTTTGTTGATGTTGTTTGGTGTTTGTTGATTCATTGTTTAGTGTTTTGTTGGTGTTGTTTTGGTTGTTTGTTGATGTTGTTTGGTGTTTGTTGATGTTGTTTGGTGTTTGTTGATGTTGTTTGGTGTTTGTTGATGTTTTGGTGTTTGTTGGTTGTTTGGTGTTTTAATTTGATGTTTTTGGTGTTTGTTGATGTTGTTTGGTGTTTTGTTGATGTTGTTTGGTGTTTGTTGATGCTGTTTAGTGTTTTGTTGATGTTGTTGGTGTTTGTTGATGTTTTGGTGTTTGTTGATGTTGTTTTGGTGTTTGTTGATGTTGTTTGGTGTTTGTTGATGTTGTTTTGGTGTTTGTTGATGTTGTTTGGTGTTTTTGTTGATGTTGTTTGGTGTTTGTTGATGTTGATTGGTGTTTATTTGATGTTTTTGGTGTTTGTTGATGTTGTTTGGTGTTTGTTGATGTTGTTTGGTGTTTGTTGATGTTGTTTGGTGTTTGCTGACGTTCTTTGGTGTTTGTAATTGGTGTTTGCTGACGTTGTTTGGGTAATATTCTGTTTTAATGAAGTTCTTTTATTTCAGGATGGAACACACACACACACACACACACACACACACACCGTCCCATCAATCCTCCCATTCCCCCCCTCCCATCACCCCTCATCACCCCTCCCATCCTGCCTCCCATCACCCCCTCCCATTCCTCCTCCATCACTCCCATCACCCTCCCTTCACCCCCTCATTCCTCCTCCATCACCCCTCCATCACCCCTCCCATTCCCTCCCTCCCATCACTCCAATCCCATAACATGGTTCTCACGCCACCACAGGAAATTTTCTGGTGGCCGGCAAAACTCTCCACTCTCATCAATAATTGTTATTTCCCATCGGCTTCTCAAATACCAGTGGATAATATTTCTCATTTGATTAAAAGGACAAATTACTTAGTTAACTTCATATCATATTTGGAGGTTATTGAATGATTTTAAATGTAGGAAAACTTGATTTAATTTATTATTCATTCAACAGGTAAATGTGTAGATTGAAGTTGTTATAAGTTTTATTAAGTGTTATATTGATGCTCCTTATTTCACTATACTCTGAAGGGGATTTAATTCCTCTAGTAGTAACATTATCTCCTTATATTTGATCCGTTATGGAATTGAATCCTCTATAGCTTGTGTTATAACTCTCTGATAAATCATTGAATTGTTTTTGTCTTTCAGATATGCTCTACGGAATACTGTCTTTGC